ACGTTGTTTTTAAAACTCCGTTGCCAGGTTTAAGTGCTGAAGCCTGTGTGTTGAGGTCTTCATGGAGGTGGAAAGCAATTCTAGCGTTAGCCAGGATTCACTGGCTGGTTTCACGGCTGGTGATGTGCTCATCCACTCCACTAGCCTCCACAAGAAGAAGCCCATTGACACTGTGACGGGAGCTGGTGGCTGTATTAAAAAGGTTAAAATTTCTGTGAAGAAGCTTCGCGAAGTGGTCCCTCCCTGCCAGGCGTCTGATGCAGCATTGGTTAGAGATGAAACATCGTGTATTCCTCCAGCCTTGTCAGCAAACAGGGCTTTATCTGGTAGTTTAACTGATGGAGCCCCCTGCAGCACTGCACCAGGTATGTGATTTACCACTGATATTCAGATTAGATTTGAGGTAAAATCATTATTATTTTCAACCATGCAGTAGTTTTGCAATTTAGGAAGTGACCTTTGTGTTCTGATACCATAAGTGGCAGCAGTTTTGCAGAACTTTGTTTGCTAAACTTTCCCCCCCGCCCCAAGCTTTCATACTTTTGTTCCCCATATGGAAAGGCACTTGTGCAGGGTCACATGGTCAGTCCAAGCTAGATTAACAGAACCCTATCAGTCTTTGGAGTTCTTGGAGGGGAGTTTGGGGTTTTCTGATCAAAGGCTCAAAGAGCTTCATAAGATGTTGTTTTTTTGGCTTTATAAAGGTAGGTTAGTTTTCGATACTGAAATATACTGTGTTGAGTTTCCTTCTCTTTCTTACTTGAAGTATATTGTCATATAATTATAACGTATCCTTAGACAAGTAACTTTCAATGCCCCTCTGGTCTTGTCAGACTTGAATTTGGCCCAAAGCTTGTCAGTTTTTCAGATGTTCCGTTTTTCAGAAAGTTTTTCTTGTATTGTAAAGCAAAGCTATCTTCCACTCTCATAGAATTTGTTAACATTTGTGAGTTTTTTGGGTTGATGGCTGTGGTCATTTGTGTTGTGAAATTCATTATATTTAGATTTTCAAAGATACAGAGAGAGAAAAGATTAAGATTTGAGTTAGACAAGGTATGCTGTAACTGCATTAGAGATCACTATGACTGCAGTAAAATTGCTTTTATTTTAGATATCCAGAGTACTAAAGGACATCCAGAACATCTACTTTCAAGAGGAAATTCTACGGAACCTATGTTTTTATCACAAACAGTAAGAAAAGTTACGGTTGCTTCCTACAATCCTAGACTGAGAGAACCACATTTATCTCAAGAAGTTACGTGCTCAGCTTCTGTAGAAGAGTAGCAAATTGTTTATCTCTGGTAACCAACTGAATATTTCGCTCTGCTTCTGCAGAATGACCATGCAGATGCTTGCCTTTATGAGTTGTGATATGCACACATGTGATATGTGATCACATAATGATGATATGTGATCACCTAATGTGATATGCATGTTGAAATGTTTGGAGGGCCTTTGCTTAGTGTACTACTACCTGTTGCATAGTCTATATCCAAGTATAATTTCCTTAGGGTATGCTTGTTTTTAAAATCTAGAGTAATTCTTCCTTTGAAAAGGCAGCTGCGCATTGCACAATATTTGTTTGAAAAGCCCTAAACTTCCTGTATTTTTTTCTCTTCTTGTCATAGATACTGAAATGGACATCAGTTTGTATAGCACTCTTTAACAATTAAAATTAAAAGGCTTATTTCTGATTAATTTATATTTGCTATGTCCTGCATACAGTGGAGACCTATGCCTAGGGGATCTAGCCTATGATGACCATGCATGAGGACAAAATTAACGCATGCTGTAAAAGGATTGCAGCAAAGTCTCTGCATGGCTCAAAGCAGAGCTGGTGAGCTAGCAAAAGTTCTTATATGGATGATGGAGTACTGTTCTGCAGTTCCACACCATCAAATAAAGTTGATAAGAGATTTTTTACTTCCCGAACTTGATTTAATGACCCCACATAGACTCTGATTATTCATGGATTCCAACTTGAGGAAATTCAACTTTGTCCCTTCAGTTCTACAGTTGCTGACTCGTCTGCTTAATTCTGCTTGTGTGGGTGAGGCTGAATTGTTTGAGACTTGTTACATATATTAACTTCAACACGTGTAATTTCACTTCTACATCTTTGGCCATAGATGAGGAAAATACACTTCTTAATCAGAATTTGGAATTCATATTTTGAATTTGTACTGGGTTTTCAGTTTGTATCCCAAATTGTCATGTTAGTTCTTGACTGCAAAGTCCAGATGGTTCTACGGTAGGGATAAGTCTTAGCATCTCCACGCTGCAATAACACAAGGTTTTGGAATAAGATATGCTAACACTCACGTATTCAGCAGTCCTGTCTGCTTCTAGAATTTTCTCTACTGGTTCCAAAAGCTTTGACATATGCTTTTCTGCTCTTCTTGTTCTGAAGGATTATCCTAAAGATGCTGCAGTACAAGTTCCTTCACGGCTATTAGAAAATAGCAGACGACCTGAAGGTCAGACACATTTATGTATTGCTATAGCCATTTTTTTTCTGAAGAAAACTACTTCATTAGAGGAAGAAAGAGCTATGATTTTTGTTTTAGATCTTTCTTCAATATAGAATTTGTTTAGTGAAAATATTCAAGGGTTTCCTGGATGAAGTAAAACCAACTTTAATTTATATTTTTAACTATTGCAAATTATATTTCAATCTTTTTGACTTACACCAGCTTATATAGCTCTTGTGCACTGGCAGAACTCCCTCTGAGATGAGCACCAGAAATTGAGAGGTTCCTTTTACTATTCAATCCATGCATGTCTCTGAATAGAGATGTTGTTTGTTTATTTGTTTTGAGGGGGGGAAACTCATTTGGGTATATTTTCCTGTTGTGAGTAATTGTGCTACAAATACTTTTTTGGTGCAGGTTGCTTACAGAAAAAATTTGTTTTTAGCCTTAAGAATTTAGGAAATCACATTTGTCAATTTCGACCAGATTTGGCAGAAGTGAAGAGCCTTTAAAGAAAATATGCTTCTGCAGCTTTCTGGAAAACCTGTGGCTGGACAGAGAAAAGAAACACAATTTAACGCGCCTATTCAAGGCTAAGAGGAATTTGTTTTCCTCTTAGCCATTCGCAGAGGCAGCAGCTATCTTGCTGATCAGCATATGTGAAACAGGGAATCCTCCACAGCTTGTGTTATCATCTCTGCCCAAGGAACAGTGGATGCGGGAGGGACTGCAAACCTTTTAGCATAATTTAAAGCTATTGAAAAATTTTGTTGCATTTTTTGGTGACTGTAGGAAAACATTCATATCACAATTGCAATTATTTTTTGTTACGTTTATTTCAAGTTAGAATTTGCAGGGAGGTTTTCTGAGTGGGTTGCCTGAGCTGCGGTTATTATTTCTATAGCAACTTTTTCCAAATTTTCTGAGGAACAGAAAATTTTCTAAGGTGCAGTCATTGTCGCTTTCAGAGGATAACAAAATGGCTTTTGTGTATAACAACATTCAATAACAGAAAAAATTGTGCTAAATGCAGTGTCCTGCTCCTTTCATCTTGTTTTTAAATCTGCTACTTTGTGAAGGAAACAATTTGATGCTTGCAGTAGAAAATGTGGTCTCTGCAGGCAACAGATTCTTTGCAGCAAAATTTTGCATCTTTTTGATTTAATACTTTGTTTACCTATAAAACAAGATTGAATATTAACCTGAAAAAGTGTATTTGATGTCCTTCCCCACAGATGATGTTTTTATTTCTCAGTATGACGCTGGCCAGAAAGAGGCTTTGCGAGTGGTCTTAAAACAAAAGTAAGTCTGTGTTGTTGATATTCTCAGCTGATCTGCTTTTGTACGTATGGTAGATACTTCTGCATTTTTTGCCAAAATGCGTAGGTGGTAAGGAAAAAGTATTATCTTTTGTCCTCTGCGAGTGCTCTTTTTCTATCTGTGAGGGTGTTTTCAATTTATTTTGTCATTAAAAGTTTGCTGAAATATCTTATTTATTTTGCACATCTTAAAACTATATGAATTAATGATTTCATGATACAAGAGTTGGGCAAGTTTGCTATAATAGATAATTTATTTAGTGCTAAACACATGTATGATACTTTTTTTAAAGGCTGGTAAGGAGACCTGCTGTCTATCCCTAGGCTAGAAATCTTGAAGTAAGATCAAAAGTTGTTTAGTAGGTCTTTGGTACTAGTACTCTGAACTTTGCAAAAGACAACTTGTAATCATGTTCTTTGTTGCGATTGCAGTCATCTCCTGGAAATATCTTTTATATCAGAAACTAATATAGAAATAATATTAGAAATGTAACCTTCAGAAGTTTCTGCTGTCATACTAAAAGATGAAAGTAAACTTATTTTTTTCCTTGGGCGTCAAGAGCTTGAAGGAAATGCTTATATAAGTCATGATACCGATGCTATAGGTGGGAAATCATTTGCTTGGAGGAGATTTGAACAAAATGCTGCTATTTACAGGAACTTACTTATATTTGTAGAACCCAAAATAATCCTGCACTTAAGGAGGTGAAGGTACAGCTCTTAGGAAATTCCTCCACAGAAAAAAAGGAAAGTGTTGGGCCAAACACCAGGTCAACACACAGGGAAATTGATTCCACTACAACCGTTGCAGCAGCAACTGCGGCTGCTATTGCTACTACAGCTCCGCTTCTTAAAGTAAGTAATGCGCTTCTCAAAATGAGTCTTTTGTGGTAATTTAGTTCTTTGTGCGCTTAGAATAGTGCATCTTTTAAGCAAGCCTGAAATGGTTGGTGGTAGAACGAACATTCTTTTGTACTTGTACCTAATTCATATTCCCTCCATTCATCGTTTGCCTGTAAAGTAAGTTTGCATGGGGAGGGCAGAAGACCACAACCTTTGGGTGTGTGCAGTCCCCTGTTTTGTGCACATGTAAGTGGATTGGTGTTAAGCAGTATATACTAAATATTATGGGAAAGAGCCTTTGTTTGATGGATTTATTTGTCAATTGGAAATCAGGCCACTCAGTATTTGTAGATTCCTTTCAGCTTTTACATATGGTGTAAATTTCCCTAACAAAAATGGTGTTGCTAAGATGATAGAACTATGCGCACAAATTTACGTAAGTGTAACAATAAAGGATGGGCATTACGTTAGTTAGGATGAACTGGTCAGATTTTGTATTTGGAAATAACCTTAAGCTGCATCTTCTGGCTGAACTTTGAAAGAGAGCATTCAGGTTCTATGTAGAAAGAATAACGCATCTGATTCGGAAAGATTTCTGCGAAACAACAGTTTCTAAATGGCACTTCAAAAAGATCAAATGATCAGTTGTTGCCCGATAGTTTGTTTAACTATAACTTTAATTTAATGGCTTCCACAAGCACACAGGAAGTCTGGTGCTTGAGGTTTGAACCAGAGGTTTTTTGTTTCAAATGGAACTGAATGTATCCACTAACTTTTTTTCCTCTGTGTGTTAGTGATCTCAGACTTACTGACCGTTACACCAGAGGGAACTTGTTTGGATTTGCCTCAGTGGAATTTGGCTGCTCATGGACATAGAAATCTGATTTGCCTTTTAGTAGAATTTTATAATATTGCTAAACCACCGGAGATTAGATCTGTTATTTTATTTGTGTCTTTTAGGAAGAAAATCATCCTGTGATGATAGGAAAGGTGTTTTGGGAATAAATAGAGATGGCATTCATATCAGCTTCCTCTTCATGTTTGCATGTCGCCCCCTCCCCCCCCCAGTAAAATTTTCTTGTTTTCTTTTTTCCCCTCCAGGTTCAAAATGATTTGGAAGCAAAAGTTAGCTCAGTTTCAGCATTAATTGATAAACTGCAGCAGACAGACAAACAGCTGCAACGTGTTGCTGAACAGCAAACAAATATAAAGGCTCAAAATGAGAAACTCTATTGTCATGAAAGAGTCAGTGAACTTGAAAAACAAATGAATACTTTCATGGCACAGCGGATCCAGCATTTGGAAAAGTTACAGCAGCAACAAATGAATATTCAGGTATCTACATAAACATGCAGAAGCTTTTGCTTAATCGTTTCTTCTAGTTCTCTATTTCTTTCTCTCTTTTTTTTTTCTTTTTTTTGGGAGGGGGCAGTCTTACACATCTGATTAGTAGGATTATATGGCATGTATTCATGCTTAGTTTTACTTGGGAAACTAACGCATATACCAAAATACTTTGTAACTGTGTCTTTTAGTCTCATCTCATTAGCTCTGCAGTCAACATGGGTGGCTTACAGCAAATTCACATACCTTCTTCCAGTCTCATGACAAAACAACTGGAGAAGCCAGAACAGCGATTGTTTACTAACCCTGTATCTTCATGTCGGACGGATTTATTTCCTGCTAGTGGTCCACCTGCCCAAGGTGAAAACAAATTATTAATATCTTATTTTTAGTGTTAGTTCTACCTTAATCTTGTTTTCATTAATATTGGATTGGACGTCACACACTAGTAACGTGTACTAAAAATTCATGTATAGTAGTAAACATTCCTGTTGCCTAGTATGCTATGTGTACCACTTATTCTGAAAATATTCTAGTTTATTTTAAAGTGGGAGTTTGGTATGTACCAACTGCCTAGTCTGTACCAATTTGATTCCATTTGAGAGGCCGAGACTTCTATAAACTAGTTTTCCTGAGAAATATCAATGTAGAAGCTTGTAATAAGCTGGTGGTGGTGGTGTGTGTTTGTTTTTTAATCATTTTGTAATCACACTCAGGAGTATAGAAATTTCTTCCTATCTATTTTTGTTTTATAATGTTTTGCTTTTCTGTGAGAATTTCATGATGTTGGCATGTTTTTTCTAGATTGTTTTCCCATGAAGAATATTCTTAACATTTACATAACTTTAAAAAGTTTTAAATTTGTGATGTGTGGGTGTCTTTTTTTTTTTTCCTTTTCCTTCCTGTGAAGCGTATGCAAGTCAACTTCAGAACGGTGGAGCTCATACACAGATGTCTCCCCTAAAGACACCAGTTCCTCGGAGATATGCTCCAGAACCTGTATCAAAAAATGTGAACATCTCAAAGAAAGAAAACCCTATAACGGAAAAGGAAAATATTCCCAAATCCACATATGAAGGTATTGTGGGTAAGGCACTCCTGTTGTTCACTGGTGTGAAGAGTATGGCCTGGGGTTTACTCTGTCTAGTCTTTAGTTCTTCTGAGCATTGGGTTGTCTGCACTTAAGTACGTACACTCAGAATTTTTGAAAGTGTATTTGAGAAAGCTAAGAGTAATCCAGTTATCTCCAAAACTAACCTAACTGAAGACTTTGACCCTAATGATCTAACCTATAGACTCTAGACAGAATTTCTCACTTTGATTTTAAGGTTAAAAAAAATATAATGACCATTCCTTGTCAGGTTTAAGGAAAATTACATATAACAATAAAATGTAAAACTGCGGAGCTACCCATGAACTTTTTCAATAGATGAACTGAATTTTTCTCACAAAAATATGAATCCTTCCAGGTCTCTGGGTTATACTAATGGAAATAGCATGTGTAAAGCAAATGAAGTAATTTTTCTTTTACTAGTTGTGATTAGTTTAGTGGCATGAAATTCAGTTTTGAGCATTCCATCAAAAAATAAAGCATCTTTAGTTGGTAGTGTTCAGGAGAAAATTGCCTGAAGGATCCAAGTTTGTTTTCCAATATCATGGGCGAAATGCCAGTTTGACTTGGTTAGCTGCTTGTTCGACAGCGGCTTCTACCTCTCTCTTTCAAAGTTCCCACATATTATTTTTGTTCCTCTTGGTCTAGGAACAGTGTTGTTAGAGGAAATTTTTTGCTTCTTGTTTACTTTTAAACTCATGCACCCTCCTTATATTCTGTTTCAAATTAAGCCTTTGTTTCCACAATTTTTGTCTTCGATTGTGTTAACTAACTGATTTTTAAATTCAAAAAATTTTATTTTAAGAAGACTGCATGAGCTTCCAGTAACTTCCACTTTCCTTTCTTTGATTTCCAACTGTTTTTTGCATTGGTGTTATCTTGTTTCTGGGGATGAGTACCTGACTAGGCAGAGCCCTGAGCAACCTGCCTTAATTCGTGTTGACTGTGCTCTGAGTGAGGGGTTGGACTAGATGACCTCCTGAGGTGCTTTCCAACGTGAATTGATTCTACGATTAGAAAGGGACCTATATAAAAATAAAGTCAAACATTGTTTTGGAGTGAATTAAAAAAAATCTGTTCTAGAAGATGTGCCTTTTCCCTGTAAGATTGGTTCTGATGGTAGCAGCAATGTTGCTGCTTATTGTCAATCTGAGGATGTAGCCGTATATACATGTGTGTACTTATGCCTGTGTATATCCATATGATATATAATACACTTGTCACAGGTTTCATGAAAATACTTATTTATTTTTTTCACATGCCGTATTTGATTAATGATATTTTTTTTTCCTGTTTTGCTGAGGAAAATAAGACCAAGGAAGAAAAGCTAAAAAAAATCCTGACCTAAATGTGTGACATTTTGTTCATAATGTTTCTCTGAGTCAGTTAGTGTCCCAGAGTCAGTTAATTAGTGTCCCAGCCTCATTCATCTGTTTTCATACTTTGCTATGCAGATCAATCATAGTAAGATAGATTGTGAGACCTGTCCTTACTGAAGCAAATACGTGAAATATGTGTATATGTGTGTATGTATATTTACTATTCTTGGTGAATATTGTATAATAGTGAACTATCTGGAAAGAAAAAGAAAGAGTTAAATATATTGAACAAGCTTAACAGTAAGTGTAACTTTTTTTTTTTCTGCTTTAGGTGGAGGAAGACTTCTTGAGCATATTCTGAATTCTCAAGAAACTCCATTGAGGCAGATTGAGTCTTCTGAGAATGCAACATTAAACAAGAATAAAATGAGCTGGCATTCCAAGAGAGATGGGTAAATGAATGTAAAACCGAGGCGGAGTTCCTGCTCTAATGAGGTTGAAAGAGATGTTTTAAATATCGGTGGTGTAATAGAGTTACTGGTACGAACCTTGACTCCGACAAAGCTGTGCTGCAAGTAAAATACTGGTGCATGCAGGGAGTTCTGTAATACTTTTGCAGTTCTGTCGGTCTTGAGGTAAATAAGGCCAGTTGTTAAGCATAGCTGGTAACAACCGTTCTCAGAGGTCAGCGGGAATCACTTGCAGTGTTCTCCTTTTTTTCTGGACGTATTTCTTCTATTGCAGCTGCTTGGGAAGTCATGTCAGGAAGTCGGCTATACAAGTATTGTGTTAAGGGGGGATTGCCGTCATCAGTGGACACTAAGCTGCCTGCTTATGGGAGCTTTATGCCAACGTTTTGTTGGGAAGGAGCAACGTCAGTCTATCAGTTTCTAAGCTTTAGGTCAGGAAGTTTTCTTAGCCGTCCACTCTGAAGCACGTGTTTCGACAGCTGATAATTTGATGTCATAATTTCAAAAATATAATTAGAAACAGCTACTGACACAGTTATTTATGACAGAGTGAAGAAAAATATTAATAATTGCTTCAAATGAGAAGACTTTCAAAATTCAGATATTACTCTATTACATCTGAATTTTATATATAGTTTCACTGTTGAAAATGTAAGGATACAGCTCAAGGTGTAAGTGGTAAATAGAGAAAACACACTAACCTGTCTGTAACCTCAGGCAGAAAAGCAAATTCTACTTTATGTAAAGTTTTGGTACTCCTGTACTTAAAATACGTGTTCAAGTAGTCAGTGTAGAAGTTGAGTACTTCTTTGACCAACTTGAAGAGGCATGAGAATTCTAATAGAGTATTTTTCACGTCAGACCTACCACTTTGCGTGCAGACTCATTCCCCGCTTTTGAAAGCTCCTTCCAGAATTCCGATTCAATTGAGAAAACGGTGAAAAAAGCAGATGATCTACTTCAAGATCTTGGCCAACTGAAAAGAGAAATGCACAACATCCTACAGGTAAGGACGGTATTATCAGAATGACCAGGAGTTTGAGTAAGAGGATTAAAGAATGCTAAGAACCACTTAAGAATTTTAATATCATTAAAAATGTTATGCTTGCTTCTACGTCTGTAAACAGGCTGACGTTTGTATGCAATTGCTTGAAATACTACCATCTTTTTGTGTGAAAGGGCTTTGATCCCGAGTAATGAGTGTGCAATAAACTAGACTGTAGAGCTTCTTACTGTTGTTCTATCAAACATATAACAGTAAAAATCAAGGATATAGTTTTATTAAATTTATTTTTTAGGCTTTCTTCTTTTTTAAATACCTGGTTTCTGCTAGGTCTCTTCCTGCAATACTAGAGCTACAGAGCTGCTGTAACATTCCTGTTTGGGAAAGAAAAATGGTCTACTTATAGACAGTTAAAAACTTTAAGGATGATTTTAGGTTATTTCCTTTCTGATGTTGCCATTTCCTTTTGGAAAGAGTGCTGTTTCCAAAGACTTACCTGTCATATCATTACGCTTTTTGCTTTTTGTGCTGATGATTTTGTAGCTCTAGAATGGTTCTGTGCTAGCAATATGTGATTTGTTTCTGGCTTCTGAAAACTGAGCCTTTTGTCTGTTTTGTTAGCCTGGTTCCATATAGAAGCAAGCATACCTGATCATTTTGCTTTAGGTTTGTCTTTCTAAATGTAAGTAGTAGGAAAGAAGGAAGACCTGGAAATTCACAAGCTTGAATTATCTTTGAACATAATAACTTTGATTCTATTACTTCATTTCTGTGGTTGAAGATTTCAGCTTGCATATTTCATTACATATGTTACAGCAAATCGATTAACTTGGATGCATCTTCAAAAGATGCAACTTGTTATATAAGCAGAGGGAAGGTCTGAAGTAAGGGAGGCAGGTGGAGACAGAACAGAAGGTGATGCTCTAATCCAAAAGAAGTGAGCAGTCAGGGTTCAGGAGGTCAAACAAATCCATTCTATCCACTTAAAAGTGATCTAATCTATTTACACCTGTCTTTGGATAAGTTTCAAATGTTCTTCTGTCTTTTTAGGAAGCAAATTTGTGGAAATCAGACATGAATGATCTTATTAAGGTATAACTTGAGTTTTGTGTTAATTTTTTTTTTTTAAATAGTGTAATACTAAAACTGTTTTGAATATGCTTGCAATGAGGTAAGACTATTATAACTATCACATGCCTGTAGCTTTTTGAAAAAGTTGCTGTTACTTCGAGTAACTTAATCTAACTATAAGATTTAACTTACTCTTTGACTTATCTTTTTCAACCTTTGTGAACTACCAAGAGGGAAGCCAAACGTTGGGCAAAAAGCTGCCTGCTCCCATATGCATGGTGTGGACTGCTAATATAGTTACTGTTTCATACGCTACTCTGGAGTAATTGGCGAGTCTTTGCCATTTTAAGGTTGTATTGAATGTGTGTCTACGTTTCTTGTGCTATTCATAAATTTCAGCTGTCTTACTGAGCTAGTATTTGTCCAAAAGCTTCATTTTAAAATGAAACCTATGTAAATTCACAAATAATTTGGAATATTGTCCTCTCCTAACCAGGCAAAACCAAAGTCACAGGATCGTGGTGGTGGCTTTTTTTTTTTTTTTTTTCCCATGTCAGTTGTGCTTTGGTAGTTATGCCTGTTAAAATAGAAGCATTTGTTTTGTTATGGCTTAATAAAGAGGCACTTTAAAGCCCAGACTAATTTTTGATCTGAGAAATTTTGTTCAGTTGGTGCTCTCTGAGTCTGTTCAAATATGTTTATTTGTTGGGGGGGGAGGGGGCTCTTTTTTTTTTTAAAAAAAACATACATGTTTCAAATTTTTGCTTCCTTTCTGGGAAATAAGCTCTATTTTGGGGACTTTTGGGTTTCAGGATTGTGAAGATCCATAGATGTATGGCTACTTGTTCCCTGTGTACTAGTGTCCCTTCCGTTTCTGTTCATAGCTAATATGGGCTTGGTTTTGGCCTTTATAAAAGGGTTCTGCAAAGTAAAAGACTGATAGATTCTACTTTGTTTCTTTCAAAAAACAAAAATGAGCAGAAGGGAGGATCATGGTGATGCTGAGTGTGTGTGTGTCTATGTTAAAGCTTATGTATATTACCTGGTGTTTCTTGGGACAGACTGATGTCAAATTAGTGCATATATTTAGAGAAATTTGTTTTTATTACATTTTTAATGATACTTAAGTCCTACTGCACGGAGAGATTCACATGTGATATCTGCTTTGTGTATCTGAGTGTCATCTTTCTGCATGTTTTTATGCTTTCTGAGCATTATGTCTCATATTTCTCGTATTCTCAAAGGTTTGCATTTAAGAGTTAATATTTGAGAGGTTTTGGTTGTCTTTCCATTCATTTGACTTTTAAATATTTTGCAGTGTACTGAATGTTCTTTGGTAACACTGAATTTGATAATAGTACACATGGAGAATGTTTCATATGCTGAGCCTTGAGTTGATAGCAGACTAATGGTAATTCTGATCGGTGTGTAGAAAATTACATGGTTACAATCTCTGATTGAAAGCCAACTGTTCTACTTCAATTTTAGTCAAAAAAACCTACTGTTGCACCTGATCTTTCTGAACATCATCCGCTTATTAAACCATCCATCCTTCATAAAGTTAAAGCACCTAAATCTATTCTGAAGGATGCTGAAAGGATTTTGAGAGGAGTTCAAAACAATAAAAAAGTCCTTGAAGAAAATTTGGAAGCCATTATTCGTGCAAAAGATGGGGATGCCATGTATACTTTTATTAACGCCTTGACTACAAACAGGTTAGACTCAATTATTCAGTGTTTTATGTAGCTACTTGTATTTTGTGTGCTCGTTACCTACCTCTCTTACAATTTTCTCAATTCCATGTGTTCAAGAATCGCTGCAGTTCCCTGACGAGATTGATTGCTCATTCTTAGCAATCATGAGATGATTCTCTTGAACTTCAAATGTTTTTGAATCTCTAGATGTGCTTTGAATTTTTTTGATAGGTTGCTGTTACTTCTTGTTCTGATTTGTGCTCCGGTACTTAAATCTAAATTCTAATGCTGGACAAATTCACATCTGGACAAACAGTTCTGCTGTCATGGCAAGGGGGCATGTAGCTTTTTGTATGCAGACTGGCATAAATGGGAAAACCAAGGAGTGATCTCATCCTTGAGGGCTGAAAGACTTTTCTTAACAGGCTTCGTAAGCCTGTAAATGTTTTAGAATTAGTTACTCTACAAAAAATCCTTGGCTTTAGAATTTACTTCTGCTTGGTTAGTCAGTTGTGTTAAATACACCTGCTTAAATCGTAATTATAGTATTATTGTTAAAACTACTCCAAGTTTTTGTTTTCATGAAAAAGATCACTATTTTCTTCATGTTTTTTAAAAAAAACATCAGGCATGGTATCTGCCCTACATACGTTTTAGAGAAAGTGATTTTTCTTGTTTTTGTCACCTGCTTTTATCTTTATTGAGTTGGAATTTTTTTTGTTCCTTTTTTTTTTTTTTTAGTTCTTAGTCTAGGAATTTGTACTCATGTATTGGTTCCTGTTGTGATCAAGAACTGAAAAATAGAAGCAGGGGGGCTTTTGCAGGTGGCGTTTATGTAAGAAGAGATTTAGGTTTGGGAAATTAGGAGAAGGTATGCTCAGTGCCTTTTGGAGGTTCATAATCTTACTTCCTTTATGCTCCAGTTTTCTGCTCTACCTACAGCCTTCTATAGGAAAGGCTGCTACTTTTCCAGGAACAAATCTGTGCTTAAGAAGTACTAACCTAAAGAGCTGTTTATTCTGTTTCAGAGATGTACTGGAGGAGATTCGTATCAGAAAGACTGTGGATGAGTGGATTAAGGCAATCAGCTTAGAAATCCAGGTATGGCTGGAAAAAATGAGTTCAGAGTTTTTGCATTTTATTTTTCATTCTTACGTTGTTGATCTAGACAGATAACATGGTTCACTCACAACTTCAAAACATGAGAAAACTGCCTTTTATTACTAGCATGTAGTTTGCTATAATAAACTCTCTATTTGCCTCTATTTTAAGACTTTCATTGCTTCATGAAAGTCACTTGATCGGTGTTGCTGGCTAACATGAAAAACAGATCGTTTCTCGAACTTCAAAGTTTTCCACAAACTCTTCTGATAGCCTTGAAGATTAAAATCTCCTTTTATTACATTTATGTTTTATTTTCAGACTGAATTGGCAAGAAATGATTCTGAACAAGTGAGATATGATCAAAAGGTTCCATGGATCAAGAGAACCCAAAACACTAAGGCTATGAAGACCAACAAAGACATTAAAGCAAAAACTCAAAAAATCCAAGGGTTCTTGACAAAGAAGTCTTTACCTGCAGCTAAGGCATTGCAGAAGCAAGCAGAAGATAACGTGAGAAAACAGACGTTAAGAACTTATTCTTCAGAAGGTTTGCAAAAGAAAGAAAAAGAGGCAGATGTGAGTTCCAACGCAATTTTTTTTTTTTTTTGGATGACTGCAATGTTTTAGATTGTGCTGTTTGCGTGGAAAAAGTTTGTATGTGTAACTGTAATGGTTGTAAATGAAAAGAGAATATCTGTCTTGTGGATTTCTGTTGTCCAGAATTGTCCTTGTCTTCATGTGCTGTAGAAATTAAGCTAAGTGTGTATAACAGTGCAGAGTTCACTGCCATATTATGATTTCATCTTACACAGCACCAGCTATTTCATCCAGCTGTTAGTAAGCTTACTGAAATACTTCCATGTCCACATGCAGTACTTACTATTCATTGTAGAACTTCTCAATCTTAAGTTCTTCCTGAGACTTTGCAAAAGGTAAAACTGGAAAAAGCAGGTCCAAAGTAATGATGGGTTTAACTTTTAAAGGTGGAAAAGCTGTAAACTGTTTTTCTCTTGTGGCAGGGACTTGTGAATGGAAGTGCAGTGGTACAAAACGAAGAGTATTTGTGCCAAGTTTATGGGAAACCAATTTACCAGGGCCATCGTAGCACGCTTAAAAAAGCGCCGTATCTGAGATTCAACTCTCCCTCTCCCAAGTCTAAGCTTCAAAGACCTAAAGTGATAGAGTGCATTAGAGGTGAGTAATTATTTGATGTGAACAAGGTGTGTGGTTTTTGTTTTTTGGGGTTTTTTTTGTCTTTTTTTCCCCCTCCCTTCTGTTTCAGGAGCTTTTTCTCTAAATTTTCGTGTGGTTGTTCTTCTAACTTTTGTGGTCATTTTTGTTGAGTCCTTCACAAATCACTAACAGAATGTTTGAAATTGTGTGTTTTAAATTTATCTCTTGTAATTGCATATGTTTTACTTCCTACCTGTTATCTTAAAACTTACTGGTTTGTAACACAAAAATGAAGATTAATCATTAGTAGATCTGATAGCACTAAGGTGAGGGATTTTGGGGCGACTTAAAGGGCATTTCTACTGTTACTCTTAACTAAATACGTAGCCTGTACTGAAGGATGAAGATTATTCACTTCATTCATATTGCACTTTGTTATTTTCATTATGATTAAAGCTATGGGAGCGGACTGTTCTTCCTTCCCCAGACTTGAATAGGAGGAGTTTAGTTAAGATACTAGTTACCTTTATTGAAAGTTGTTTTTCTCTTTGTAAGAAAGTAAAGAACATTGCAAAAAAACCTGACAAATGTAGGGAGGACTGGAAAATTCAAGAGGAGAAAGCTGCTGTGCTGCAAAGAGGTGGGAGGGAAAAGGGCCTTCTCCTCCCCCCCCCCGTACATATAAGCATATATTTAATATTTAAAATAAAGTGACTATATTAATGTATTAATAAGTATTACTTATATTAAGTATTAATAATATAAATATTACTTTCTTATTTACTTTACCCTGCACTTCTTGCTCCTATGCTTTCTGTTAGTCATAACTGCAGTCTTAACTGTTTCATTTAAAAAGCTTTGTGTATTTTTATTGTAATGAACATGTATCAAAATAGAAATATTCTGTATAAAATATAAGAGGTTAATATGATGAAGGCAGCTACCTAATGAGACCGTGTTTTTAGGCCAGCAAAATGTATGATATAAAGCACTGAATATGTGTCTTTGAAGACAAGCACTGCTCTTCTTTTTGATATTATAACGAGCGTTCACAGTGGTAAATCCACAAAATAGTACAAGAATGCGTTGTTAAGTGTAGCCTCATCTTTGTGCTTTTCTTGATGCAGTTCTCAACCTGTGCTCTAGAGCCAGTTGTGATCTATGTAGAGAGTATTTGAAATTCTCATATCCCTTCTGAAAATGTGGATAATGGTTCTGGCAAAAATCCAGAAGAGCTTTCAAAACTTAATTTAAAAATGGTGAGAACTTGATGTTATACACAGTGATTGAAGTGAAAGTTGAGAATTGCTAGTCGTGTTGGTTGTATTCTTGATTTTTGCCTCTCTTAATACATTTCTTTGTATGTATTAAAAAAAAAAAAAAATGCCAGTATGCTCATCTGAAGGAGCAGTCACTTCAAATAGTCAAAATAGTGATTTGTCACTATTTTTGAATGCTGACTCTATAGTTCAGCGTATTCTGCACAGAATTTTTTGAATAAAATGTGTTAGTGAGAATTAAGTTAGTGTAGACTACAATTCAGTGACTTTTAAGACTTGAACTGAGAACAGGCACTCCTGTAAGGAATACTTAATCAGCAGTTCTGCTTTCACTGGGTCCTGAATTTCCTCTGCATTTGTAGGGCTCTGGTGCTTTGGGGAAGTCAGAACCTTTCCTGGGAGGCAAATTTCACCATTTCAGAGATAATACTTTCTAAAGAGTCAGAAAAAGTGTGTAATGCTCCATCTCCCCCTTGCACAAATCTTATTTTACTAAAAAGTAGGTCATTTGATACTAACAGTTTTCTACCAGTAATATGTCTAATTCAGTACTCTCAGTTGAATTTAAAGGTACAGCTATATTTAATCTTCCAGAACTCCTGAATGTGACAAATACAATTTAAAAGGTATTTGCTTGAAAAAAGAATGAACTCTGGATAGCCCCTACCCAAACTGATTCTCTTCCAAATCATTACGTCGTGCTGCAGCAGTGCAGCAGCACGCCTGTTTGTAATAGTAGAGCCATCATGAAGTTCACTTCTCTCACATTGAACTGTAATTACAGAAAGTTATGTTTCTCTCTGTATCTTGAGAGTAAACAAAGCAAGAAACCCTTATATTCTCATCTAAGGGAAGAAAGGAAGAAGACAGAGTTTGTTTTGTGTCGCTTCCTACAATAGCGCTCCCATGAAGGCTTTTTTCCAAGCTTTGTGATTTTAATGGCTTTAGACCGAAGTCAGTGTTTCTTTGGTATTGACACTTATTCGATACCTAAAATATTGGCTTTGCCCGTCTGACTCTTCTTATATGGCAGCTGGTCAGGTTGCTTAGTTCTTGTGCTTTCCCACGTCCTGTCAATAAATGGAAGAGTGATACTGCTGTATTTCATGTTGGTTTTGTGAGGACAGCATTATTAAATGTTTTTGTGGGCTGCTATTCTGAAAGATGTTGTTATGGCAGGATAATATAATAAAACTAGAAGCATATCTGAAATAGTCTGTTGTGAGAATGTAAATAAAACGAAGCAAGTTGCATGTGCATTTAAAAGCAGCAGGTTCTTTAAAAAAAAAAAAAAAAAAAGAAAAAGAAAGAAAGAAATCTTGGTTTCATTTGATGTGGTTATTTTTTTCCTTTATGGAAATGCAGCCTCAGATTCCCCTTCCTGGCCTTGATGTACCAGGTGATAAAGGCTTTTTAAATGTTGAAAGGAGTTGGCTTTGAATTTGATTGACTAGAAAATCCAGACTTATTAAAATGACTTTTTTTTTTGTTAGAGCAGTCCATTGAACTTGTGTTAAATTAGTATTAGAATAAGGATGTTTGTTTAAGACTGCAGTGGCCATCTGGAGAGTATCTTTTCAGGTGTTTTATAACTTTCTCAACCATTTTCTTTGCAAATAAACTGTAGTGACTAATGTTTGAATTCTTCTGGGAAGTTAGGAAAAAAAATCCAGCTATTCACACTTTTATGAGTACAGGAGTGTTTCTTTAAAAAAAAAAAAAAAAAGTTTTTGCATAATTTTAACTGAAAAAATATATGTAAAATGCAGGGTTTTTAAAACTAAGGTTAATTAAATGCCCAGTTTCTGCCCAATGCAAACAAACTTTTCAGGGGAGGCAGAGTGGAAAGCAATGAAAATGAAGTGCTCTGTGCACGGTACTTAATCATTCTTACTGTGAGAGCCTTGTTTTCGCAACTTAGCGGTATTACAGATATCTTGCCAAATTCTGTTTTTACTCAAAAGTTCAAGGCCGGGGGACTTATTAGATCATGTAGTGAGACCTCTTCTAAATCGCAAGCTACTAAATTGTATTTATTTATTCTGTTACTGAGTCTAGGAATTTTGTCTTTGACTAAAGAATAATTTATCTGGCTAAGCTATGCCTTGCAGAAAGGCATGTACTCATCATTTAAAGACATCAGAAACTCTGCTCTTAGTTACTTCTTCCTGTAGCTAGATATCTTACTGTTCAAAAGTAAACATAGTGCTTTAAATTTAGTAACTGGTTTATAGTGTGTTTGGCTTCAGCTTGCAGCTACTTCAGTTTTCAGGTAACTTTCTTAGCAAAACTAAAAAGGCTTTTAGTGTTCACCCTATCTTAATATTTACAGAGATACACAGTTGGAACTGAATGTAGTATTGTCATATATGGAAATCTTCTACTCCGTTTCACCGCTCTCCTGTTGAGACGTCTGAGGATTCTGTTACTGCATTTGACCGCAGCGTTGTGTTACGATTTCTCGTTGCCTTGCTCATCCGACAAGACCTTAAAGCCTTTTCTCAGAGGCATTGCTTTCTGACCTGCATTCTGAAATTGAAGTTATGACTTGCATTTCCTTTTTTCTAGGCTTATAACCCATAATTTGTGTGCTAAAATGCCACTTCTTGAGTGGATTGGCTTACTGCCTTATCTGCGTTGTTATATGCCACATTATCAATCTTTATTATCCCCAAATTTTATCATTGTTGACTTTTATTCTTCAATTAATTATGAAGCTATTAAATGTGAGCAGAGCTAACATGAGTGTTTGTTGCCATGTGTTAACTGGCCCTGAATAAAGAAAGGGTGGTGGTTAGAAACAACAGAGGAGTAAGGTGACGTTTTTCAGCTGTGGTGAAGGTATGGAGTGATCGCCCGTGTGATCCTTTCCAGGTTCATCTTCCTAACGCCTACAAAATAGCAGTAGAAGCACCTCTGTTTGGTTCACAATTGTCAGCTCTTTTGGGGATCTCTCAGGCAGTTTTTATCCGTTTAGATATAAGCTGAGTAATCACAAGTTGTGTACAAGCTGTAATCTAAAATGAAGATGTCTTGTGGATCAAGCTGGGGTCGCTTTGAGAACATTGCCTGTATTTAAATTCCAGAGCTTAATGTGTCCATAATATCCATTGTTTTCAAAGAATACAGATTGAACAAGAACTGTCGTGCATGTACAGCAAGACAGGCAACATTAAAATAATTGTCCTCTGCTTTAGGCAGAAGAGGCATTGTTACATACAGATTACTTTTGGGTGGCTCTTTGAGAATGCAAGTTTCAAAATTAGACTAAAAAAATCAGTGCTTCCTTGATGTTGCAAATCAGGATGTATGGGTATTAATTGCAGCTTTATTTTCCAGTAATGTTGAGTTTTGAAACCAGGAATCTGTAGATTTTTGCCTATTCCTTTGAATATTTGTTGATCTTGTGGCCGGAGACAATGCACGTTTGTAAAGTTAAGGCAGTTAATCGTATGAACACCAGATTAAAGTTTGGCTATATTCTCCACCTCTGCCTATTTTTTCTTTTGTTTTGAAACAGGCTTGCCTGGTATTTCAGATGGCCTGTGTGATGTAAAAGGCCACATTAGGTAATCTTGGTGGTTTCCTTCTGATTTTACAAGCTGACAACCTATGAACTGCTTGTTGTTCATTTTCAAACTCTGTGAACCTGTATTAAGTTGTGCGTGTAATTTGAATGGGAAGAGAACTAAGAGTATTGAACTAAATGATCTTGATACAGAAGTTTTCCTTGCAGGACTGAATACATAGTCCCTTGTATTTTTTTTCCCCTCCTTTTCTTTCATAAACACCAACAGGATAACCTATTCATTTCTGCAGTTGTTTTCCTTTGCCTTTCTTGATTGCTTGGTTTCAAACACTGTGCAAAAAGAGAATGAAGCAACTATGTGCCGTGGGTGCGTACGATGAAGGAAAGCTGTTTTGACTCAGATGCTGACAGTTGCTCAACAGCTGACTGACCGTAGCAGTTCTCAGTCCCTTACTTGTGTGGTTTTAATTTTGTTACTGAACTAGTTACTGTCCCATTAACTCCCTTTGTCTCAGTCATTCCCTTTGCAAAATATACATGATTAGAGGGTTATGGGTCTGACGTAGATTTTTCTTAATTGCTCAACTACGCATTTCATGCCAGCCTGTTACCATCCCTGGACCATTTTCTCAACATTTCTGTGTGCTTATTTTTGTGCTTATTTGTTAGATTCTGATACGTACAAAAAAAGACCTTAACTCCTTAACTGCTAACTCTGAAACAGTCAGGAGTTTCTGCTGTGGGATGGAAGAAGTGAGGGAGACAGGCAGGGAGGGAGGAATCCAAGAGTGATAAGTTGTAGGTCTCAATCAAACAGCTTATTTAGTGACTGTGATATTACTGTGTCTGTACACGCATTGATGATGTGCGATTTATCTGGCTCTTGTTTCAGGTACAAAGGTAAAGTCAGCAAAAACGCAGACATGTTCTCGCACACAGAAGGTAGTAACCAGCCCTAAGAAACAGCATCCTTTACTTGCACCTACCCAGGAAAAGCAGTATCTCTTCAGTCCCAGCAGACATGTGCCCACTGACTGCGGTCCACTTGAAGGACACCTGATTCCTATGGCTATTCCACTAGGTAGGAGCGGATAACCTATAGAAAGGATCTGTATAGGTTAATACCAGCTCATTCGCGGAAATGCAACTTGCATCTTAAGTCAGAGAAGAGCCCATGAGATTTGCAGCTACCTTTCTCTTGGGAATTCTACACGGGAGAACAGTTTAAAATCCTTTGGTTCTCCTCTTGTTCATGATGCATGTTTGACTACTCCCTGGCAGAGCAATGTTTGTATAGCTGTACATACCTTCCTTGGTATACTTTCCATTTTTAGGGTTCTTGTTCTGGCTTTATATTTGGTACCCATATAAGCAGAAGCTGAATCATTGGCCCTTGGACTCAGCATTTCCAATGACTTCAGCCCAATGGCTTCAGTAGCATTGTGCCGAACAAACTATTTTATAGTTGCTGCATCTGTATTTTTGGACCTTCTGTAGAGCCTGTATTTCAGCCTTGTTTAGGGAAAGTTTAATATTATGTCAGCATTTAAAGAAAATAATTATACAGGAAGGAGAGCCTGAAATTAAAATCTGAGGGATGCTGTATTAAACGTATTAATAATTTGAGTATAGTTCAGAAAGCGTGAGGGAGGAGAAGCATGGTATGATAACAATTTTTAAGCAGGAAAGGTAATATAGTTATTCTTGTTTTCAGCAGTAGGTGTCACTGTAGTCAAATAAACTGCTTCAGAACAGATTCAAAATTTGAAAACTGGCAGTTTCCAATTTCTGTTGGGAAAACCTTAGATTTACCTGGGGAAACCCTAGGCTTTAGCATAATAGGTTATAGAGGACTCTTTGATTTGCTCTATAGCTGTGCAAAAGAGCTTAGTCTATCCTATGTGAAACTTAGACACCCAGAAGTGGTGGCTATTGGTGTTAAATTTAATTAATTTTTTATTTTACTGACTTGTTTTTAAGATTTATGTATTTATTTATTTTAAAACTTTCCTTAGGTCAAACGCAGATTAGCAACGTCTCACTGCAGCCTGCTGGAGTAGTTATAGGCAAACCACACCCTGTTACGCTTACTACCTCTCTTCCTCCAGTGCCACCAAAGTCAACAGTTCAGATAAAAAAGCCAAACATAGCTGTGATAGACATGAGATCAGAGAAAAAGGATCCACCTCAACTGTCTGTACAGGTATATATCAGGAATGATTACTTTTTTATTTATATATAAGTGGTGACTAAAGACAATCATATCCGTCAGCAACTTACTTTGACATAACAGATACTTTTCTGTAGGCGTTAGAAACATATGGCATGAAGTGATCAAAAAGTGGTTGTGCTTTGCTGATATTTTTGTCCATATTTTAACAGTAGTTTTTATTATTTAACCAAGATAGAATAATTATTTCTTCTGCAAGTCAGCTATGCAAGTTATTTGTAAAATAGTCCTGTATCATGTAATATCCCACACTTGCTTATTTTTAAAGGAGATTTTGAAGCCAGAACAAACTTGGAATAAAAAACATATTAACATAAATATCAATTTCCTTGGCTGAATGCTTTGGCCTTTAAGATTTCTGTTTCAAGTATGATATTCATCCCAAGAACTTCACTCCTGATTAATCACCCCTTTGAAATCCTTGTTTAGTTTTTATTACATAAATCTGTTGTCAAGGAAGTAAATGTTTCTTACGTGTTCAGTATTTTGGATTCAAGTTGTTAAGCATATTCACACTGCTGCATACAGCTTTTAGATATAAATCATTCACGGATCTCAAAGTTAAATAGAAACAGAGTATGTGGTTCATTCCCTTGCTGCGTCACTGCATTTCACCCACATACTTTTTTGTGTTATTTCACCCAGTTAGTTCTTAATTGTTAAAGGTGACTACTTTTTTTTTTTCCCCCAAAGTCTTAAACTAGTATTTAAAACTAGTTTTGATGCTGTAATGGACATGCCGATATTACAGGCTATATTGTACAACAGTCACCCCTTTATTTTACCGTACCAGATGTAGGATGAAGTAAAGACGGTAACTGATCCACACAATGGCTTATAGGCAAACATAATGTAAACGCAAGTCAAATACACATCTAACTAATTCATATGAATAGAATTAATGTGTCTACTATTTAAATAGTTATGGGTATATTTACAAGCAAGACATAGTATCGGGAGGGTTAGCAGTGTGTTATAATTAAAAATCGAGATATTAACCTGAGTGATTAGAGAACAGGAGAAATCAGGCTCCAGAAGAAAAGAAGAGAATATTTCTCGGGGGTTACTTTTTGTATATGATAGTATTCAGTTTTTAGAATCAAGTTATTACCAGATGCAAGTATGAGAAAAGGGGATCTACTAAAGAGTTTAGTGACTCGATAACAAGTAGAAGAAGAGAATATAGAAAGTTCAGTGATTGGTGCTTTTTCTTTTTTCTTTTCTTCTTCTCTCTCTTTTTTTTTTTTTCCCCTCCTTCCTGTTATAGGTGTTACCAAATGTAGACATTGACAGTATTTCAAGTGCCAGTGTGAGTGTAAACCATGAACTTCCAGGCTCGGAAACTGCACTTCCCCCTGTCAGTGCTGTAATACAGGTATTGATTGGTCTAAATGTCTGTGAATTGAAATCTCTTAAAAGTAAGAAAATATGAGTAAACTAGGTTGAATTACTACAAAGTTATCTCTATTTGGTTCCAGGAAAAAACGAAATAGTTATACTGAAGAATTTGTAATACAAGGTATTTGTTTAAGCAAATGAAAACTTGCAGCAAGACCCTGTTCTTCCAAGATTGAATAAGCACTGTAGCAGAACCCTAGGAAAAACAGTATTTCTCTGTCTTGTTGAGAATTATAATCGCTTGTTGGCCCATTTCACGTTTTGTCTTATTTATATTGGGTTCAGTATGTTGGCATGAAGACCAAAGATGTTCTTCATTCCTCTGTCTGTTCCTTGTCTGTATTTGGGTGGTTAGTGGCATGTATGCATAGCCTCTTGCATGAGAGTAAATGATACAAAGTGACTGGGCTACAGAGCTGTCTGGTGCCCTCTCTGCTCTTCCCATGTAACTTTTCAATAGCATTTTTTACACTAGTCTGGGTGGTAATGAAGGTTTTGGCTGAACAAAAATACTGAATGCTGCCTGATGAATGATAAGCTTGTAAACTAGGGCACGTATTTGCAAGATGGCATATTGTTTGGTGCGCTGGACTGCTGTCTCGTACACTGAGCAGTGAGATTTGAGTAAGGCACAGTGATAGAATGATTATATTTGTATAGCTAGTGTACTACCTAACTATACTATTTGTATAGTTAGTGCCCTAGTTAGTGAACTATACTATATTTGTATAGTTAGGCTTTCACTGTATGTCAGCTGCCATTCTGACTTAATGAGTTAGGCCCTCGGGAGTCCCATAGTCAAGGTGTCCACTGAATGTGGACTAACATAGCAATCTATTAAGTAATGCTGTAGAAGTTAAACACAAGTAAATGACTTAAGACACTTTTAGGCTCTTAGGTGCTACCTTTGGCGATGTTTTGTCATGCTGCTTTTTATTTTAATAAGGCTAACAGGCATTGTCCTAGAACTTTCAGTTGTGAGATATTCTGTTAGATGCAGTGAGAGTAGTTGTCAGTATACAAGAAACACTCTAGTAATCTGTTTATTCTATGCAAAGAAAATTTTTCTAACTCTTAGGATACATGAAGCATTTTTCCTGGGTTCAGGCTGTTAACAGTGAGTGGTGATTTAATTGTATTCTTGGCATGAAGTTATTCTGTTAATGTGTGTGGTTCCCCCCCCAATATGAGATACCTAATAATTTCAATCTATCTTTATAAGACTCCAGAAGATGTATATAATGAGGAAGAAGATGTAAAGTTTCCGGGAACTAATTTCATTGATGTTACTGATGTTATGCAGGTAATTATATTGAAAACATTTCACAGAAAAGAATACTTTTTCATATTTGTTTTCTGTTATTCTGTGATAACTGAAAAAACAACATAGAAAGTTAGTTTGCTTTACTAGCAACTTTAAAAATACATGTGAACAATACTGAAGTGTTCAGTGCTGTGAACAATATAATGAGTCACTGTATGTTAATGAGTAAAGTATCTTTGAGGAATTACAATAAAAAATGAAAATTATCTTTGAGGTATCAGACTTTCTTAGAAATAAAAGCAGACCTTTAAAATCAGATTATAGCACTTGGATTTCACAATTTGAGCTCTGGAAGAAATTTATGTTTAGGATGCTCTTACAGACTTTAAGCAGATCTAAAAGGAGTCCTCAGAAAATACTTTTACAAAATGTAAATATAGAACAATGTGTATGCGTTTTTGAGGTCCTAAAGTGCTTTGGTATAATAATTCAGTCAAAAAGGGTGTGACTAAAAAAAGAGTAATATCCATATTACTCTTAATCTGATGCATCTCATTAAGAAGTGACTGAATTTACTTTTGCTGCACGCCTTCTCTTGTTAGTATGTCTATGTGTGTATATGGATTCAGATAGATTTTTTTTAAGTTTGACAACCCTGAAGTTTTTTGATTATGAAAACGTGGATTTATTGGAAGTGCTACTTAAAAATTAAACCGTAAAAGAGTAAGTCCTTTGTTGACCTCTTGTCAGTCAGAGCAGGGCCTGATAAACTTTCAAGGTGGTTGAGCTGTATTTTACTTCTCCAGCTTAAAGGTTAAGAACACAAGCAGAAACTCAAGGGCAGCTGGGAAAAGCTACCTCTGAAGGAAGCAAGATGCTGCTACCTTGCCATCATGTAATGTCTTGCCTTTGCAGAAGGCAGCAGCTTCTGGATCCTGCTGCATTTAGAACTCGGTTCATTCCGGGAGCTTGAAGATACTGTCATTCATTAACATCTCTCTTGAAGCCCTTTTGTCTCAAGGTTCCTAGCTGTGAGCTAGACTTGCTGTGTGCTATTCAAAATCTCCTGAAGTATTTATTCTTTTTACCTGTTTTATGTGCTGCTGATCCCAGAATTAGAGCATACACTAAACACTGACTTCATAGCCTACAGGTTATTATGGTGAACTTATTTAAAAAAATAAATTTGTCATTTAACAAACCTAAAGATGAGGATTGCATATCAAAAGAGAGGGAAATGGTTTATTTATTTTTAGATTCAAAATTACTGCATATTACTGGAGGGGAGGAGTTAAATCTATTTGGACAACTTTCTTCTGTTTGCACGAAAACTTTATTTTATAAAAATAAACAGGAAAACTATTTAAGAAGTCAGTTTATGAAATAACAGAAAATATCCCACAACATTAAATTGTTTTTTTTATAAGTGAATAACAGTTATTCTTTTTTTTTTTTTACTCATTTTTCTCCTGGATTGCTTTTATCTTTTGTTTTGGCAATGGGATATATTTTAACCACAATACTAAAAAATGTTCCAAGTGAAACACACGTTTGGCCTATGACCATGTAGACAATGTTCTTAAAAATGTGCAAGGCAAACACAATGTAGAAGCATAAAATCAACCTCTGGAGTAGCAAGAGTATTTAAGACATCAAAAGGAAGCCTCTTTTATAAGAATAAATTTACTTCAGATGCATCATAAAATGTTATATGTGAAAATAGCTTATTGTTTTCCCCCTTCACCCCTCCTTTTTCCCATGAAGAGTTAATTCTGTTAGAACTGACTAGGATAAGTATTTGTGTATAGTGACTTTTTTTTTTGTTGGATATTGCAGAAAGGCTTCAGGATATTGGCCCAGGCATTTTCTTCTAAGATTGCTTTACCTTTCATACAAGAAGATAGATATTCAAGAGTTACTTTGGAAGTTGAAATACTAATTGATAGGGGTTGCTAAATCCTGTGGCCCGACAGAGGTGAGGCTGTCGCAGCTCCCTGTTCCCAGGTCCAGCCAGTAGCGAGGCTGAGCGTGCCAACGCACAAACGCATGTAAGCAATACACATGTACGTATATATGTACATGGCTGACTGCACAGATTAACACAGAGGAACACTCAGCGCTCACACAGACAGCACCGATGGCCTTGTCCTGTTCCCCTCTGTGGCAGTTCAGGATGAAGGTCCATTAGTGGTAATATATTTTTGTGCCTGTGCGCATGTGTGTATATAGATGCATATATTTGGTACAGACTGCACCCTCCAGGATCCCTGTGGTAACTGGCCCTAGATACTCAGTTTGCCCAGTAACTGGCCCTCGGATCCTCTGTCTCCAGTTGCCTTGTATACAGAGAACCACACACACACACACGCTCATGGGTCTTTCACCCAAGCCTAGAGCTTTGGGTCTCTCCAGTAGTTGGCCCAGACCTTCAGGTCCCTCTACTAGCCAAGTTTTCCAGCTATCTTGTTCTCGGAGAGGCATGCATATCCAGCCCAGACTTAGGGTCACTTTGATACCTGGCTCCCAAGCCATGTATCCTACCTGCTGGCTCTTCCGGCTTCATATTTGCTAGTGAGCACGTACATATGTACCCTCTGGCTCCAGTTGCTGATAACATGGACATGTGGGCCCATATGACTTGTGGCCTGACTCCAGTTGTTGGCACTTTGATCTCCTTATGCATGCATATGCACAGAGTAGAGAGCCCTAGTTAGGAAAACAGTCAGAAATGGAGTTTAATAACTGCACTAATCAGGCACATGGCATGGTCAGAGAAGTATACCGACAAGCTGCATGTTTATGAGCAATAACAATTATTTTATCCCCTTGCCCTTCTGTTTTCCCATGCTTTGTTCCTTTCCGAGCCACCTTGATCCCTCCTTTTCCCCAGCTTTGGTTCCTCCCCTAAACATGCTGTAGTAAATTTTGTACAATCCCCAAATGCTCTTCACTGCATGCCATAATAATGGGGTAACCGCACTCAGCCTGGAGAGCATTTCCGTTTGCTTGTCTTGATGGGTTGCACACCCAGACAAGGAGAATGATCACTCTCCTGTGATAGTCCTGGGAGTAACTGGATCAGGTTGCTTGCTCCTCTGATGAGGTTATTTGGGTTCCTTCCACCTGTCCTCCTTCCTCTGGGCTCCTTTGTTTGTGGAAACAAACCTTTTATCATTTATTCTAATACTAATTTGATTTAGCAGATCCTGTAGGCTAATGCAACATGTCTCAACTTTTAAAATTTAAGCCCCTTTGTAGGAAGAGGTGATGCACATTGTTCTCCTATTGCAACCTTACTGTATAATGCTTAAAGACCCAGTGTTCCTTGTTCCAAAGTAATTGAATTAGGTGCTCTTATTTCAGAATAGAAGGATTCACATATGGAACAAAGTGGAAAGGTTATTACTAGCTCTGATTTACACACCTGTTTATCCTTGATCAGTGCGTGTACATACGTGAGTTTTCCAGTCTTTCTCATAGAAGATACCTCATAACGCCAACCCTCTCATGGACCTTGTTATTCCAGAGTAAGCAACTTGCTCAGTTAGTATGAGCTCAGAATGGACTTTCAGGTTTACTCAGTCTAGTCTCCATCTCTCATGAGCATCCACATCCTGCGATACCTTTAACAAACTTACCAGACTTTTCTGTAAGATTAGATAGGCTTTTTGTCTTCTCTGCTGTTGTTACTTTGTAAACATGCCCGAATTGCAAGGTGGGACTTACTACTCAGAATCTCTGCTTCCGTTTTGAGACAGCTATGTACTTATATGTTGTTGAGTACTACCCTAATATATGTAACCTGCACAGATCAGAGTAAACGTATGTTTCTCAAGAGAGGTTTCCCATAGATGCTCTTTGGGGCACTATGATTATGATTTTTTTGCACGTATAGCTCTTCAGGCAAAGGATCACAGGTAGCATCTGTAATAAAGCAATTCTCATAAGCAAAGTCTGGCTGTAGATATGAATTTCTTTTTGATGCAGATTTCTAAGTTTTGGAAGGTTCTAATAAAAGGCTGTGCATATGCAAGTTCAGTAATGGAAAAAAATTAGTCTGTCCCACCTAACCATTTCAAATACGTTTTAATTACCTGCATGTAGTTTTGGGAAATGAATAGAATTTCATCTTGATACTTTTTAAAGTACAACGATTAATATTCCAACCATATCTGAAGTGCTTCTTAATATATGCATTATTTTGATTGGGAGTCAGGATAGATATTTTCAAAGGTCTCCAAGGAGGTAAAAATACAGAACTGAGTGCAGATTATTCAGGACTGGCCTACAAGGTGATGTTCAATCTGTGCAGGTTCAATCTGTATAATTAAGTACTCAGTATTATGTATTGTTAAATTTTCAGCTGAGGTAGTGTATCACCCCCAAATGAATGTAATTTTTATATATATATATTTTTAAAGATTTGCGCACTATTAAGCGCAAAATATTTTATGCACATAATCTAGAAATACAGGAAAGCAGGCAAAAGTTTGTCAGAAGTTACTAATTATATGCAAAATTTATTTTATGTATTTGGTTTATTTAATCCAGATGTTTATATTTTGCATACTTTCAGAAAAGATTATATTAAATAGGAGACATCAAAGAAAATTTATGGAGTTATGCAGTCAGAAGAAACTGTGTAACGAAACAGTGGACAAAGGCGTCTTTGCGTTTGCTGTCAGGATGAATTATGGTTACGAATGCACATATCCTAATAGAATGAATTGCTTATCAGCTCGCAAGTCATCCAGTGACATTTTGAGCATAACTTTACTGTCTTATTTCTGAATGAATGCTTAGAGTAGTTCAGTGATCTTCATTGCCCAGATATGTATGTTCTGTTTTGCTTGCTTGGTAAGTTGCAGCTTCTCTTTAGAAAATTATTACTATTTAAAGATCCAGAAAGATTACCCTTCCTCCCTCAACAGAAAAAGCTGTTTGCTGTACTACCCTTCCTGGAGCTGTCTGACTTCTTCCAGCTTCAGCGTATGTTAAGGTGGGAGAGAAGCATTAATAGTGGGTTGAGGAAACAGAGTGGAAGCTGTTACTGTCTCTTTTGTTTTTCTCTTTTCTTCCCATTTTTAGTGATTTGTTCTTTTACGCGTAAGAAATATTTAAGGTTTTTATTTTATCAGTTAAAAGTGAATTTAATTTATGTGAAGGAAAGAAGACTTTCTCCTGCCAATCTGTAGGAGATCAATCTCAGTAAATGTAGATTCACGATGAGCTTTTTTTATGCAACATCACATGTTCTCACTGGTAACTTAGAGCTCATTTCTTCAACTCTTTTTGACATGCCTAATCTTCTTCTTATAGAATTATATTACTACTGGAAGTGTTGAAGTTTAATCTTTAAATGAAGGTTACAGGTTCTTATCCATCAGGAGACATTTCTAAAGTGTTGTAGTATGATTTGATGGCTTGGTGACTGTGCTTTTTGGGACTTAATGCTGGGTTTGCACTCAGAAGGAAAAAGGGAGGAAGATGATATCTTTGGAAACACTCAAATGTTATTAATGCAGTCAAATGTTATTAATGCACACAGAATAATTTTCATGGCTTTTAGGAATAGCACATTAAGGTTAGACTGAAATTGTCTCTGGGGATCTTGTGAATTGATTACCCAGAAATTACTTCTGCCTTCTCAGCAACTGAAGTTAGTGAAAGAGTTAACATACCTATGTAGAGTATTAATGTCTAAGCTTCAATGATGATACATTTATTAGAACTTTGACTGACTGCATGCTCATTAACTTTTGCTCATTAATCTTTTGAGACTAGAGACTTTTTTTAAAAAAGTAATTTCTAAGCCTCCTCCCCCAACAAATGACTACAGTAAGATTCCGAAGCTTTCCCCTTTTTTAAAGAAGGCACGTTTCTGAGGTCTGTATTTCAAGAAACCTCAATTATGTCACAAATAAATTTCTCAAGTATTAGAATTACCGTTGGCTCCCTGCCCTATGCAGTACAGGCAGGAAACATAACCCAAATCATGTTTCACTTAGCAGTTCCTATACTCCTATACCTCTACAGATTTATGATTTGCTAGGTTTAGAACTGTGTCTATTAACTACAACAGAATAAGAAGGGAGAATGTGGTTTATGTGCTGTGACACATCTATAACTGTTTCCTAAAGAAAAAAATCTAAAGGTTGCCTCAGTGACATTATCTTACAAAAATGCACTATAATTTAGTTTACTTCTTATTTATTAGGATCAGGAAGAGGAGAGTGATGAAATTCCAGAATTCTCTGAGCCTTTTCTGGAGCTTAATGGACAATTTAAAGTTGCCTCTCCAAAATACAATGGTCCTTTGTTTCCTCCAGTGGCTTGTGCTCCTCAGCAGTCCTCTGATGTTTTGGATGAACTGATTCAAAGGAGAGAAACTATAGAAAACAGGTTAATACATTGGTAAGTTGCAGTGTGAGTGACAATTATGAAATAGAAGGAGTATAAATATGGAAGAAGGAATGAATCCGTAAGAAGAAACTTCCCTTTCTTCTTTACCTCCCTCCCCCCTTTTCACCTTTCCTTTTAGCTTCCATTTAATTCTACCTGTTTTTTCCTTTGTGTCAAGAATGCTCTGTGTCTTGGTGCTTGCTGATATGTATAAAAGATGTATTTTGCTAGGGTGGAACAAGAGATAATGGCAAAAATTATCAGTGGAATGTATGCAGTTCAGAAAGAAATAGTGCCCAGTGTAAGCACATCAGAAAGTGAAGACAGTGAGACTGCAACCTCTGATATTGGTGAGTAGGAGTTACTGTCTGCAGTTGTTTTTTTTCACTCAGTGGTGAATGCATTATCTCAAATTTAGTCCAACTTAAAAAAGTTGCTTCGGTAGCACTTGCCTGGGCCTAACTATAGATAATGTGGAACCAGTGAAACTATTGTATGGAAAAATACATGCTTTAATTTATGCTGAGGCAAAGCACATATTAAAAAGGCTATTAAAATAAATTATCTAAAAAAGAAAAGCAGAGCAAACAAAATACACCACCGTGGCAAACCAGCTTCTGTTTGTTGGCCATGTAAATCAGATTTTACCTGAATGTGATATTTTGCTACAGCTATAACATTTATTTGCCTTTCTTTTGTTAAGAGATTTGTCAAAAATTACCCCCCTTATAAAAGCATAAGAGCACAGGAGCCAAATGCATTTCTCATATGACGTCACTACCCTTCACTGGCTTATTTTATGGTCCTGAATAGCTTCTCTACTGTACTTTCTGTATCTGTAAAATACAAATATGTAGTGCTGCAATAAAGTACCTATGTTTTAAGAAGTGAGACCTGGAGGGGCGCTTTGTGTTTCTTCATTTTCAGTCGAAGTTGCAGGTGGTGGCGGATTTCAACTCTTTATCAACGCTGGTGTGCCAGTGAACTCAGAAATGATTAGTCATTTTGTGAATGAAGCTCTCAGTGAGACAATTGCCACCATGCTGGGTAACAGGCAGGCTCAGAAAGCAGTTCCTGCTACAAATGTTGTTCCAAGTACAACAATTATGCTGGTAAGAGTCGGCAGTTCAAATATGTGCGGCATGAAGATGTCAGAGAAAGACTGTAAAACTGAATAGACCCCATTTGCATTTTTTGGCTTATTCCTTATTATACCGCAGCAGGCAACAAGATTAAACCTATTTCACTTAGAAAATGTGAATTCCTTTACAGCATGTAACGCAGAATAGATTTATTTATTTATTTTTAAGGCTGATCACGAAACTTGATTTCTAAGGAAAAGATTTAGTACTGGATTTCCTGTTGTCAGAAGACAACTATGTTGTTTTCAGCAAAGATAACTATGTTACTTTGTTGCAGAGTTGTGAGAGTGAGAAGTAAAGAGTTTTATTTGAGAACAGTATTATTTTTGGCCCTACAGATTGGCAAGCATTCTGTAATATCTGTGAAGATAAGTACTAATTCTTTCTAAGTTTTGAATGCAGTGGTTTTCAGCAAATGCTTAAATGATTAGCGCATCCTGTAAGACAGAATAAATTTCTCTGTTCACTTTCATAATTAAATGATGGCTGTCTCTTATTCTAATAACAACATGACTCTGCTACAGTCCAATGTTCTGTGTTGTATAATGTCTTTGAAACAAATGCGGAAAAGGCTCTGCTTAGAAATCTAACTATTTAAAGGTGTAGTGAAAGTGAGAGCAATTATTCTAATCCACAACAGTACACGTGCACTGAAATACTACCTAGTGCTGGCTGTAAATGAGATTATTCCACAGGCAAACTGCGGTATTTTACTGCTGTAGACTTAGTACAGCCATCCTGTGTCTAAAAGCTCTTTCCTACCCCATTACACGCTAGGGGGGATGTGATGTTAAGGAGGGCCATTTTTCGGAGCTTGTTCTCTTAATACAAAGAAGCCTTCTTCTAATTACTGTTCTCAATTTATTCATGGCCCTTTTAAGCCTTTCCTTTTCCCATACTGGCATTGTCCTTGAGCTGTAATGGTTGTTTTCTCTTTGTTGCATTTATTCATTTGTGTACTTGTTGAGATTAGTTGTGTCCTTCTAAGGACACATCTTTTATTTGACTAGGAAAAGTAAAGCAAGCATCTGTATGTGTTCCGTTGCTCAGCTCTTCCTGTTGGGCCCTGCTTTTATGTTTTCCAGTTTAGATTGGTCTTGACCATGGAGTCAGTCGTGCAGCTGTGTGTGAACTGCTAATTGTGTTAGCGTGTTCCACTTCCTATACGGGTCATTAATGAAAATCAACAGTCTGAGGACTTATTCCGAGAAACTGGTGTGGAAGCATTCCTTTTAGCCTTTATCTTGTTTTCTTTATGGAATGTCAGAAAACAGGCTGGAAAAACTCGTGAGAGGTTGTCTAGTCCGTCCTATTCCCTCAGAGCAGGCTGAGTGAGAACCATCATCTTTTCTTGTCAGATATGTCTTCATCACCGTTTATTGCTGAAGAGCATAGTGACCGTTTTCATGCCTGTTTTAGTGTTTCACTGTCCTGGCTATCGCCTTGTTCATAATCTTTTCTTTTAGCTGGTTCTCTTAAAAGTATTACTCTGACTCCATTTTGTCAGCGTCAGGAAATATTTTCTTACTTAGCATTAAAATGCTTTATTAAATGAAGCATTTATTTAATAAAGCATCAAATGCTTTTTTTTAAAGTCCATGTAATACTTATTTACCTTTTTTTAAACTTACTAATTTTGTCCAAGGCCGTCCATTTAGCCTAGTGCAATTTTATATGTAGATGGAGGATTTACAGCCATGAAGCATGCATGTAACAATTGCTCTTACTTTGTGATACCCTGTTTCTCTATCTCTCTCATTGTTTTTGGTTTTGTTGTTGTTTGTTTCCTCCCTTCTTTCTTCCTTGACTAACTATGGGTTTATCTGGAAGATACAAGGTTTGCATTGGGATAATAACTATGGTTATGATTCCCTCAGGAATCTCTTGTGCCTACTCCGTTGCCAACACCCCAGGCCACACCACCTCAAACACCACCTTCAGAAAAAGAGCTGCCTCCGGTCAAAACTCCAGAGTCTTCTCCATCTATTACAGAAATGAGTGGGGATGTTCATGAACAAGAAAAAAGGAAAGAAACAGGTAGTGGAAGTAATAATTGAACTTGAGAAAGGGCAAATATGCTTTAATCTGCTGCCTTTAATTTTCTTCTTCAAAGACGTTCTCTCTCAGGATAAACTCTCTCGAGGCTGTGATTCAAGTGGGGACTCATGCGGTATAAAAGTTGTGAGCTAATTTGTATAAAAAGCAAACATCTATTTGATAACAGTTCTCTTGTCAAACTTAATGCATGTTGCTGTGGTCTGTGTGATTCCACCCCAGCCTACTTTCTCACATGAGAAAAATAGCTATCTTTTGCTGCTTCCTGTGTTCCTAATGCTAATTAAGCCAAATTTACACCCCCTAAGTAAAGCAGCTTAGTTTTTAAAGTGCAGGGCAGACTCCCTTATTACAGGCAGTAAAGAGTCGAGTTGTTTCTAGCTCCTTCAAATGCTGACATTGTACTTTAAAGAGTCTAATGTTAGTCTAATCTCGTCTCCATAACGATCAAAAAAAATTTTTAGTAAGCTATACAAGTGCTTAGTGAAACTGTCAAGCTCTGTGCCTAAGAGCTGCTTGCTGCTTTGCTTTATAATCTGAAATTTGGCTTCACACATGTAGGATTTGAGATTCCAGCTTCCGTTAGCTGTGTTGGCACACCTGTGGTTACCCCTGCCAATACACCCCCTAGACTGACTACACCAAGCCCTCCTGCCTCAGAATGGATTTCTGATGCTGCAAAAATGGAAAGTCCAAAGCTTCCAAACCCATGGGATGACGCAGAACTCCCTCTGGAAGAGGAGAAACCCAGTCCTTTAAATGAAGAACCATTCCACCCCAAGGCTGTGTGAGTTTAAGAGTGTGCATGTTTTTTTCATTTCTTAATAAATAAATACGTATATCCTTTCTACGCATATCCTCAGAACATAAGTAGAGGGAAGTGCTTAATGTGTATGTCGGGAGGCATTGTGCTAAGCCAGGATTCTTTTTTTTGAATTGATTGATTTCTATTTTGGGGAGACATGCGAAATGAAGACCTCTCCCAGAATTTAACAGTTCTTATTCATTGTCCTACTGAACACTGCAGTTAGTAACACCTGTAGTTAGAAATACCTGTAGCTATTGTAACACCTGCTAGTAATAAATACAGTGACAATGACATGTCACGTGGACATCATTAGCATTTTATCTTTTTCTGTTGCCTCAGTGGATTTTTGTAGCAAAACACAGTATTTTTAGCTATGAGCAGAAATTCATTAATAAGGTTATGTAACCACATTGATTCTCAGGCTCTTCTGTAAAACGCTGTACTCTTTCATTTTAAGTAATATTTGCAAATTTATTTCTTTTCAGTGTTGTTCTAAGACTTTAGTTGATATTATCAGTTTTGTTCAATTCATTTTGATGTATTCACGTGTATTCTTACATTTTAGTATAATGTCAGTGGCTAATGATGAGGAACCAGAAGCCTTGATTCTACCATCATGGCAGTCGTCAGCAAGGCCCTTTGAATCGCTTCCTTGTGAACCGCAGGTTCCATCACCTGTGCCTACAGTTAGTTCTGGGCAGTCCACACAGGAAAGCAGCCTTACTCTCACAGGAACAGAAACAGAAACTGCAGATAGACCCATCTCAGAAGGAGAGGTGCTCTTCAGCTATGGACAGATGGCAGCTGCAAGAGGTAACTTTAAACAGGTTTGAGGAAATTAGAGTTTGGATAAATTTTTTTTTTTATTTATAAAATTATCTTCCAGTCTACTGAAATTACATTTCATACATGATCTGATAAAACTGCAAGTGTTGAGCTGAATATTAAGGAACAGGTTGTGTTTTTGGATGTATTTAAGAGCCCTCATCGTTCTTTTCTCTTCTCTGAACAAAAGCATTTGTTTACTAATGAACAAAAGATTAAATTTGCTCTTTTGTCATAAGATCAACTTGGAAAATAATTTAGACTGTCATAAACAATTTTTATTGAAAGTAAAATATCAGAGTTTTTTTTTCCTGTGGGCCGAAAATCTGTCTTTCCACTACACATCTGGTAGTAGGAATCTCTGAACTTACTAGAGCACTGCATGACGATTATTGAAGAATATGGCCTTAGCTTGCTTTCATGTAACTTGTATATTTTTTTAGTATTTGTAACTTTAAAATATATTTCAGCCTTAGCAGAAGGAGGACTGTCTCTTCCAACCCTTACTGAGAGCTTAACGAGTACACTACGAGATGCTAATGAAATGGTAAGGAAACTTTTAACAAGGAACTGAATTTAGCATGGTAGTCCACCTTGAGCAGCTTGGTTAATTTGGAGATCCTTTACTAAGCGTTTTCAACTTTAAACTTTTTAAACTTAGGCTTTTAAACTGTACACTTACAAAGAATGTTAGAATTTCAGAACTCCAAAGAAAAAAGCACACAGTTCAAACTAATTTATGATAAAGTGGAATGTTTTAGATACTTCTGTAGGTGAGACGTAGCTAATATGCATCTTCATCTTTTTTATTGTTGTTAGTTTTAAGATATCTTAATTGTAAACAGAATAGGACGTTATTATGCTCTAAGCTGTTTCAACTTAGAGCTGTCTTGTGCTTGGTTGTGTGCTTACATTATTAAAGGAAGTTTGCTGAAGCTGGAGTTGCTTAAAGCTGCTTAAAACTTCTCTAAAGAGATTTATCTATCTTCTGCTTTAGTGCATTGTCTTAAAAGTTTCCCAGGTGTTGTCTCCGTCTCTTCCCCCCTGCCTGCCTTGACTTTGGCTATAATGCCTTTTGGTAGGACGTTGCTGTAATATACTGGAGTTTGATATTACCATCTAATACTATGCTCAAACCAAGCTACTTTCTTTACGAAAGAAAAAACTAGTTGATAGTGGAATCATAAGTGTTGTTTGGAAGGGACCTCCAGAGGGACTAGCCCACACCATACTGTATGGCCCTCTGAGAAGCTGTCCAGATAGTTGAAATCCCATGAGGATGAAGGCCTGCAATTAGCAGACTTCTGTTAAATTTCCTGTAGAAAGCCTCCTCTGTTACTCCCTGTTGTTCAGGTACTCTGAAACATACCCTGACCACAACTTCTCCAGGGTTTCTTTCCCCTCTGATCCTGGCTCAGACCTTCGACAGACACATGGAGGCCTCTGCATTCAAGGAACTCCTTGACCTTGAACTGAAAAATTCCTGAGCTGCTGGGCTCAAAGGGTTGTGATCAGTGGCATGAAGTCCAGCTGGAGGCCAGTCGCTATGCCAAGGGTCCATACTGGGGCCAATACTGTTTAAAAATTTTCAATAATGACCTGGATGATAGAACAAATTGCACCCTCAGCAGGTTTGCAGATGATATGAAACTGGGAAGAGTGGTTAAAACTAAATAAACCAGATGGTTGTGCCACCGTTCAGAGGGACTTTGATGGGCTGGAGAAATGGGCTGACAGGAATCTTACGAAGTTCAGCAAGGGAAGGGGGAAATGCCAAATCCTGCACCTGGGGGAGGAATAACCTCATGCACCAACAGAAGCTGAGGGCTGACCTTCTGGAAAGCAGCTTTGCAGAAAAGGCCCTAAGGATCCTGGTGGACAACAAGCTGAAAATGAGCGAGCAACGTGCTTGGCAGCAAAGAAGGTCAACAGCATTGTGGGTCGCATTAAGAGCGTTGCCAGCAGGGTAAGGGAGGTGATTATTGCCCCCTGCTCCACATTGGTGAGACAGGAGCTGGAGTGCTGTGTCTAGTTCTGGGCTCCTCAGTGCAATGGACATCCTGGAATGAGCCCAGTGAAGGGCCATAAAGATGACTAAGGCATTGGAGCATATGATGTATGTCAGGAGGGGAGGCTGAGAGAGCTGTAATTGTTTAGCCTGGAGAAGAAGGTGGCTCAGGAGGGATCTTATCAATATATATATAGACATCTGATGTGGAGGGAGCAAAGAAGGTGGAACCAGGCTCTTCTCAGTGGTGCCCAGCGAAAGGACAAGAGCCAATAGGCACAAATAAAAATTCAGGAATACATAAGAAACTTTTCTATGGAGAGGGTGGTCAAATGCTGGAATGGGTAGCCTAGAGAGGTTGTGGAGTGTCCATCTGTGGAGATATTCAAAACCCAACTGGATGTGGCTCTTGTTGACACTGCTTTGAGCAGGGGAGTTGGACTAGATGATCTCCAGAGGTTCATTCCAACCTCAGTGATGCAATGTTTCTATGACCTAGAGCAGGATACGCCCTTTCTTCTCCCGGCCTGTCTTTTGTAAACATTTGTACCCATACATGACCATAATCCACTCATGCATGCTGTCCCATCAAATATCTATGATGTCATTCATGCCGTAGCCCTGAGGCTATGTCGTGAACTTGAAGGTCTTTCTGGCTGTTATCCAAACTTTGCATGTTAAGTATATAGATGCTTGAGGAGAATGCCCTCCCTTTTGATGAAGGCTGTAAAATCCCTCTTGTGGCTTTCCCTTTGGATACCTCTTCTGTTTGCAGTATTTCCTCCCCTAAATTCTGGGCTTAAGACTCTTGTTATTAGACAAGAGTCTATTTAGGTTAAAGTTCTCCCCATCAGGTTAGAAAGCCTGATGGCTAAGGTGTTCTCCTCTTTTGGTCACATGGATCGTATTTTCTTCTGCTATTCCTTCTTCATCCTCAAACTGTTCTCTGTGATGAAGGCTAAATCCCTGCTGGTGAGAGCAGCTGTGCAGGCAGATCTTTACAAGCATCCGGTATGTGTGAATTTAACTGTCTCCCTGGACCTGAAGGCCTAATAGACCTTGTCCATCTGAAAGTGCTACAGTCTTCTGTATCAAGCTCTTAAAGACTATGTGCTTTTGTTGATAAAAGGAGAAAGCTGTGCAACAGTCTGCCTATTATTAGATGCCTGGATGTTCATGACACGTTTGGAATGTGGATAACTGTAACCATTTCCTTTATAAAGGAAAATAGCTTAATTGTGAACTAAAGAAAGAATGATTCAAGTTCCTACACGATCCACAATTATTCTTTGTATTAGGTGGACTTTTTTCTTTTTTTTTTTTCTTTCCTTTTAGGATTATGATCCCCCCAGTGAAGGGCAAGTGGTGAAAAGACCCCATAAAGGCTATCACAGGGATCCTGTCCTGACTCTCTTTGCCAAGCTAAATCAGGCACCTGTTGCTGCACAAGAAGGAATGTACCATTTGGAGGTAAGTTACTGTCCTTTTTCGTGTAGCATAGCAGTGAAACAAACATATGAGTTTTGAAATGATACTCTCTTATTAAGAAATGGGTAAGATAGCTGAAGCTTATCCTTCCTGTTGGCTGTAGAACAGGTTCATGCACTTGCTCTCTATCGGAAGTGATCCCACTTCCGTTGGCTGTGCTCTCACCCAAATGTTTTAAAACCATTGAGGTTTTAGTGTTGTTCTAAACAAGTTTGCTGTATGTACTATCACACATACCTAGTTTTCATGGTGTGTACAGAACTGCTACAGGGTGCCAGATTTGTCCTGTCATTCTGAAAACCAAGGAAGTTTTCTGTCAGTTTGGCAGTACAAGTGGCATGTTTAGCAGTACAAGTTCCATGTGCTTACAGCCAGATGAGTGTTTTGGGGAGGTATGAAGAATAACTGTCAGAAATGTTTACATGCACTTTTGCATATGTTGTTGATACTGATCTTGGAACAAAAATCCAAAATATTCATAATAGATTGGCACAAAAAACAGACTTCGCGGGGGGGAAAAAAAAACAATTGTCTGCGTTACAAGAGACAAAAGTAATTTTTTTGTAACACGTTAGACATTTTCTGTGTGGAAAAAAGTAGTTTGGAGTGGGTGTTTGATCTAACTAACATAGCTGGAGGGTTGTTTAAAGGAAGTGAGCTTCTAATATTGCAACACAATTCATGAACACATTTATTTAGGGCGGTTTCTTGCTTTTTGTGACTATACAATGCATATGCAGTTTATTCCCTCTGTTTTGGTCAGTTTGGTCTAAATTATTAACAGCTTCACTCACCTCCTTAACTATTTCCTGGTCTGTCTGTTTTTATTTTGCTTAATGAGCTCAGATGGATGAACTTAGTGAAGAGCTTTCTACAGTGTCAGCTCTGAATCTGACTGTAATTGTAGTGACATTTTCTTGTCAGCACTGCCAAATACAAATGCATCTCTAATTTGCTTTTTGCCTTTCCCATAGCCACAGACCGCTCTGTCTGTCCATACAAGACTAATAAATTACTCCACAGAGTCTGGCAAGGCAGATGCAAGCATAGCTTCTCATGTATAAGAGAAGAGTATTCTCCTAGATATTGCTGGTATTTCCTTAGAATAACACCATGCATATATGTGTATATGTGTATTCAGCCTGTTTGTGTTTTGTTTTTTTTTCCCTGCACAGAAGCAAGTTTACTGTTTTTTCTCTGCAGCTTGTTTGAAAGTCAGAATCCAGAGAAACACCTCTGTTTTTTGGGGCATCCCAGCCAATTTAAAAATAATCTTTTTATCTGATATGCTGTACAGCAGAGACTCAACAGCTTTTAAATACTTCAAATGCTACAAGGTCACTCAGGCAACAATTACCGTATGTGCAATGTTAAAGGCTTCCTGTGTCAAAACCTAACTCGGGTTCTGATTACCCTGCAACACCACTAATAAAGGATGTTCTTTGTAAACGATTCTTTTCAGTGCAGTACTGATAATCGTAGGTCTTTCAAACCCGGTTAGATGGTATCGCTTCGATTTTCAGTCATCTTTATTCAAGGCTAGTGGTATAGACTTAAGTTTATTTATGCTTCAAGGGTTATTGTAATGAAATAATGTTGCCTGGTTTTTTGAAAGAAATGAATTGTTTTTTTAAGCCTGCTGTTCTGTTGTTGTTGTTGTTGCTGTAGGATTCTGATGATAGTGTTGGGGAGATCAGTGAAGGTCAAAGACCTAGGCTGACAAAAGCTGCAGAGAGTATCGTAATGGGACATTCAGTGTATGTGGACCATCCAACTGCTCGAACTTCTGAGAGTAGACCACACCAGGGTTTCCGTGCTCCATCGCCAGGGCAGTTTGCCCAAAGTACAGGTATAATTAGATTGTTGTTTCTGCTCTGTGATATTTAGTTGTATTCTGAGGTTTTCTATAATAGTATCTGAAATTATTTCAGAGAGTGTGTTCAAAATGCTGCACTAAGTGCAGGTAATTGCTTCAATGAAATGATTAGCATTCCTATTCTGAGAATTGTTTTGGGTGGGTTTGACTCAAGCAGTGTCTTTACTCTTCTTTGACTAATGCAAAATTCTGTAACATACTAAAATTGCAACTAAAATTGCTCCACGTACTCACTTCCCAATGCGAAAGTCAACTTAAAAAATATATGTTTTATTCTTTTAAGACTGATTCAGAACTCAAAAACACTTGATTTGGCCATTCTTTAAGTCTGTTTCCACAGAACGGGTGCTAACACTGGCAGTGCCAGTGGCTTTTTTCTCTCTCTCTCTCTCTCTCTCTCTCTCTCCTTTCACAGCATTCACAGAATCATTCCTCCTCCATTACTTTTATCACTCCATCAGAGCAATATTGTAGTATCTCACAATCTGTAATATATTTTAGCTTTATAATATTCCAGTAACATATGGAAATTCTTTTACTCCCAGATGGGTAGCTGATGGCTTGTTCAAGGTAGTGGAGGAATACATTGCTGTGGTAAAGCAGGGAAATGAATCCAATTATTTTCAGTCCTAAACTAGTGCTCCAGCCACTGGCCCATCCTTCCTTTCTCTCATCTTTCTACCCCATTTTCTCCATTTTTATCTGAAAATGTATTTCTGCACTTGCTTAATTAAGTTTGCTGCAAGTGTGTAGAAACTCCTACTTTTATTGAATGTGGTTTTAAATCTAATTAGACAAAATTGAAATAATTATTAAGCTGTAATAAGACAAACATGGTTGCGCTGATTTATCTAAAATAGAGTAGTTGTCTGTACCATATTAGACTAGTAACTAAAGTGATCAAACAGCTTTTTTTTTTCCTCCTTTTAATCTTCACATTTATGATTTTGACAAAAGAAGGGTTTCTTATATTATTAACCTTGACCAGTGGATTGAAATTGAGTATGTTCAATATGTGATATAAATGCTTGCAGGCTGCAAAACTGTGATAAACACTGGGTTACCTAGCAAATTACTTCTTTAAAATAATAGACTATTATCCAGGTTTCTTTTAACTCACGTAAGAGTGAAACATTTTCATGAAGAAGCTTTTCCAATCTCTTTCCCATATGTGAGATAAAACTCATTAAGCATATAATGATATGATGATTTATACAGCTCTGGAGCTACTGTAAAGGTCTACCATATTGGAAATCTACAGATCATAAAACTGACTTTTTTTTTTCTTGTTTCCAAAGACACATATTTTCTTTTCTCCATAAGGACAATTTGAGGGATATACCCTGAATGTGTAAGAAGGAAATCATTCTCTTTAGCACTGCATGTTCCAGTGTTGAGTCTTGAAAATGCTCCACATCCTGTTTCACATGGTCTACTTGGGAGATTATTGCTGCAGTTCATCAGGATTTCTTTTTTCTCCTTATTTTTCTCTCTCAGCTGAAATTCTTGGAGATGCAGATACGAGTCATGGTCCAATGCTTATGGCTGAATTGGAAACACAATCAGTTCCAAATCCTGCTGTGCAAGCAGCCCAAGCAAGCTGCAGAGTGACATCTCTCTCCAAGGGTGCCTCCCAGGTAAACTCAATGGATATATTTTTGACTAGTCAAAGTGCAAAATGAACCCTAGGAAAATAAATTTTCATATTTAGGTAGCGGAGACAGACATGGCAGAACTGGTTCACTTAAAGCGATGCATTTAACTGTGAAATTGAAGTCAAAAGTATATAAGGGAAAGAAAAATGATTGTTTTACTGAGGTTGAATCCTTGCAGTATTCTTTCTGTTAGGCTCACACCTTCTCTTTTACTTTTTATGTACTTTCTCACAGCTTCACTGGTCTCCTAAGACCTAATACCATACATACTCAGTTCATGTGGGACTTTCAAATGGCATATGGATATACAGAATCACAGAATCGTTTAGGTTGGAAGGGACCTCTGGAGATCATCTAGTCCAACCTCCCTGCTCCAGCAGGGTCACCTAGAGCATGTTTCCCATGATCACATCCAGATGGGTTTTGAATATCTCCAGCGAAGGAGACTCCACTACCTCTCTGGGCAACCTGGTCCAGTGCTCTGTCACCCTCACAGTGAAGAAGTTTTTTCTCAGGTTCAGATGGAACTTCCTGTGCTTCAGTTTCTGCCTGTTGCCTCTTGTCCTGTTGCTGGGCACCACAGAGAAGAGACTGGCCTCATCCTCTTGACACTCCCCCTTCAGATACTTGTACACGTTGATGAGATCGCCTCTCAATCTTCTCTTCTCCAGGCTGAACAGGCCCAGCTCTTGCAGTCTTTCTTCATAGGAGAG